TAAGGTCACACAACAACGAAGGCAAAATTTGGATGCAGCCTTGGGCAGAGTGAGTGGATCATATGCCGCAAATGTGAGGCGTACTGAGTGTGTTGAAACTCTGGTCTTGTCGTAGGTGTACATCCCACCGAGTTCGCTAATTTTCTCACATTGAAGTGAGTTATGTTATTCAAATTAGCCAAAACTCGATTTACCCTCATCAAGAGTACAAGATACGTTGAGTACCTGAAATAGCTTTCGGCATCTAAGATCCTCAAACGTTGAGCACAATCTTTAAAGGCAATGTGTAATTAAAAAGCCCAATTAGACCAAATTAGACTATGTTAGGTATCTGGCTAACACGAGCGAGCACGCACACGACGAGTCATGTTCACTCAATATTGGGACATGCTTCAGTCATGACCATCTTCTTAAGAAAAAGATAATGTCTTAGGTAGTTAATGCATATGTCGCTTTTCGATCCTCCAATAGAGTTAATTTTTGTAGCAGAAATTGTAAAGGCTTCACTTCTTACAGTGTTTATAGCGATTGAATTGTTTATCTTTTTATAAACTCCCCATGGGTTAGTTTTTGAAGTGTTAAAATACAAGAGGTTTAAATAAATGTATGCAGGTTTAATGATGCAACTGGCAAAGAAAGTCATTCTTTCCATACGCCAGAGCTTTTGATGAAGTAAATAATCTTACAGTGGGCAAAATAAGTCACATTACAGCCTAGAGAACACCCACTGCGAAATAGTTTGAAAACCCATGCACAGTACTGAATCACTGGTCTACGCAGTTTTAAGGGTAAAAGTGCTGTAGACTTTCAATTTTTGTGAAATTCACCAACAAATGCTAATCATAATGTAATACTTTTTCATGCTTTTTTGAAACTTAAGGTATGTGTACGTACTCCTATTAGATGGAGGATGACAAGTATTGCTCATATGCTGTTTTTTGCATCGTGCGTTAACTTGAGTAGGCCCACAGCTTTGAAATTCAGAACCGCAATCCACCGCATAATACTTATTATTCATCTATGTTTTGTCCTTGTTAGTATTCCAAATTCACTTGGGTAGTCCTTTCTATTTGTCGTCTGATTGGACAATACCAGTTTAAATAGTGCAATACTGGAGGGTTTCTGTGCTTTTATCCCAACATATGTACCCTCTACAGATTAATCTGAACTTTATTAGTCCTTTTTATTTTCAACATCTCCTTACTAGCAACCATCAACTAAGCAACAATTAGGCGCAGAAACCTCGTGATACTAGATAAAAAAATATAAGTACTTGAGGAACGGACATTTAATTCCACGAGGAACGGCACTAGAAAATCTCCCTGAAGTTTGCAGTTGTTAAATATAGTTCACGGGTAAAAATCGAGAGTAAAATTGAGGCAACAGGGCTTTATCTCAGTTTCTGCATTTTCTGAACTTCTCATCTTCTTTCCCTCTTTTTGGTAGATAAAAACCTCCTTGGTGGTCGAAATGAAGCCAACCGGCCCTGGCGAACGCAAGTTAAGGACACTGTTCCTGTTTGATGATCTTCTTGTGAGCGCCCACCAGAGGGCCATCGTGTTCCACAAGTAGGCATTTCAATTTTCAAAGTACATGCTTCTTTTAATGCGAGGAACTTATTTTAATCTGTAACTCAATCAAGCAACTTAAGTGGAAGGCAGTCGTTCTGAATTCTTAGGATCTACAGTTCAAATGGCTCAAATGACTACAGTTCTCCGCCGGCACAAACTTTGAGTATGCGTAGTCTGCACTATTCATATATTCACGATTGCTTCTTTTTTAAAGTGTCTAATTAAATTTTTGCATCAGTAAACCTTTACCGAATGGAGATTTAGAGAACCCTGCTAAGATGGTGTATACTCCGTGTGAAACATTTGCCTTTATGAAGTATGCAGGTCGTACTACTGTAACAATTCTAGTATTAAAACAATACTGAAAATTACATTGCTAAATCGTGCTATCTTTCTGGAGTCACTGGTGTGTACATAAATATGATAGATAGGAAAGGAGATTTCAAGGGCAAAATTAAGCATACTTTTTGTATACATTTCATCATTAGACAAATTGTATTTATTACGAACGTGTCTAATTACTATTGTTTTGGCAGACTTGAGTAACTAAGCAAACCCATTTTCGAAATAATAATCAGCATCTGCGGGATTCGAGGTTAAACGGCCATCTTGTTTTCCACAATTAAGTCTAACGGAAAGGTCTAGCTTGTATAAAATGGTCATTGAGAGCACAAGTTTGCGAAGTAAACAATCATTTAATTCCTACAGGGCATAGTGTCTGTAAGCCATAGTTGTACCCTGTGTGTCACTTCAGGACTTTCACTGTCCCCTAAAAATTGTAACGTTTTTGCTAAAATAGGCCTTTGGAAACTTCAACTCGTTCCGCATTGATCTGCAAGCATCACAGTTTGAGACAATTTGTGCAAACATTTTTTTTCTGATATACACAGTACAGGCTACTCAACTTGCTGTCTTACCCGACTTGGCATTTAGTCGGAAGCATTTTGGGTTTTGGCTGTGCTGCGTAGCAAGGAAGGCTTGTTTTATTTCCTTTTAATTCGTGTGATTCAAACCAGACTTTAGGCCTCGAAAGGTCCCTTTTTATCATATCCTCACATTTGAGAACTGAGCACGTCAGGGCAATGTACGTTTTGTGCTAACTGAAATGGGCATGTTTTCGCGGAATTTGTCTACTGTGTGCAGCATAGGAAATTACTGTTACAAAATTTAGAATTTGTTCTGCTATGCATGCTTTTAATTTCATTCGATTGCTGGATAGCTATACCAGAAGGCATTTTTTTAAATACACTCTTTTTCAAACAGGCACTTTTCCCAGGAGGATGGGGAGAAATCTGTAGACTGCTCAGAACTCCTGTTCGACAGTGAAACAATGTCCACTCTCTCGGAGAAGTCCGATCCCGTTTCTCTGCAAATGCGAACGCGAAGCATCAGCCGCTATGAGGTGAAGTGGTTCCTTCCTTTAGATCAGCTGGACAATTTGCGAACAGACGGACAAGGTAATGTTTGAGTTCCATGAAATGGGGTTGTTGTAGAGGTTAGACTTGATGTAACCGAAGATAAGGGTAAAGTTTCACTTAAAAAGTTAGAGACCTGAATGGAAAAATTTGAGACTAAGTAGACATTTTGCACTAGCAACGCAAGAACTTAGTAGTAACAAGATTGTTCGCTTTGCGGTAGTATATTGATAGACGCCATTCAGCTTATCTAATGTTGTCAACCCGAAAAAAGTTTTGTAAGTTGAACCCATTTAACGTATGTATCGAATTCAGTTTTTACTTACTTTCCCACTTTTCACTTTTTCACTTTTTATAATAGTGTTTCAGTCCTCGATGGAACGAGCTTACAGAGTATGAGTACACAAACCGCCTTTAATACAGGGGATCTTGCACTAAATTCCAGGGAGTTTAAGGTACGGGTTAGTAGTAGTGTTATTCTTATGATTAAGTTTACTGCTAAATGTTGTGTTGGAGTTAGTGTAAGGGTTTTCATAGGGTAATATTTATCCTTCCTGGAATTTAACACAAGGTCACATGCATTGTGGACATGGGTTCGTATTGTCGTGCCCTGACAGTGAGGAAACTCATTTCTTGTACAATGCCGCCGGCGAACCCCTTTTGTTTTATAAAACTCATTTTCTGGACAAAAATCCCTGTAGCACAAACTCTAACCGCACTAGCATGCTGATAAGCCCTATGTACAACGCCAGGATAGATTTTTCAAAAACAGATTTGTCTAGGGTTCTTGGGAAGCTTTCTAGTCTGTAAATTTTCACTCTTTTAGTCGAGTGCTGTGGTTAGTGGTCAGCAAGCAGTGGTCAAAATTAGTTACCCTTATGTTGGCTATTGTTCATGCTAACTTTTACCTTAGTCTCTTTGGGAGACTGTGCTGTTTGCATGCCTGTTGCTGAGAGCTATCCAAAGCGAATATGCATAGTGTTTGGGAATTTTTCATTTAAAACGCTGAGGTAGTTTTCTATGTGCAGCTATAGAGCGTTCTGGACCTTGATTAATATAGTTTGCCAATCTCTCAGTAGTGAAGGGCTCTGAATAATCGGGTTTTTCCGCAATACCTTAAACGATAATACAGATTAGGAAAATCTACAGATATAAATCAAAAATATGTCTAAATGGAATAAAATAAAAATGCATATAGCAGTTATTAAAGTATATTCCACTGCCTACCATAATTCTTCGCCCATAAAAACCCTTTAACAACCATTTCCATTGGACAAAATCCTGGAACTAGGGGTATATGAGGTGTACTACTTAAATTACTTTTGCCATTTACTGCCAGTTCTCCTTC